TATATATATATATATATATATATGTAATGATGTATAACCACGATACACTCCTTCCATGGAGTTTCATATATATGACTGCATGTATAACTCCTTGGAAAGATGACTGCAACTAGAACTGCTCGTCTCTCGCTTTGCTAATAAAATTTTTCTGTTCGTGGGGCGGGGGCTTTTGTGAAATATGTAAATTCCGGATTGAGTATATATAAACGACGAATACTGCCCATGCGTCAATTTTGTACCGTTTGATAGCCCCACTCGGTCCTGCCTGCGAAGCGAAGCGTCTTCTCTGATAAATATTGTGAGGAGATTGTCCGGCACTAAAATGCAAGCAGAATTGAGCAGCAATCGCACTAACTGTGCACTTTGCTTGAGTCAGCTGAAATACCCGTACGGCAAGCCAGGAGACTGCAGCCATTTGTTCTGCTTTGATTGTATCGACGACTGGATGAAGAAGCGATATGAATGCCCGCTATGCCACAGAGCCACTAGCCATATTGTCCAAATTGGCCGAAGCGGATTCGAAACAAAGACGTCGGCGGAGAGCGGGACTGTTCAGGAGTTTGAAGCTGAGGTTCATCTTTTGTCATTATTTTATCACGACAATCAGCTTACTCGTAGTACTTGATGTTATTTTTGATGTGCGGAGCAGGATCTGTACTTGTCTTTGAAACTGAAACGACCAGTGCAATCAGTATTTCCAACCTATGGAATCATTTAGGCGAGTTATTTTTTGAAGGGCCTGAAATAGCTGCGCTCGATGTTTCGGAGCATACTAGTAATGTCACTAACAGGAGATACCCATACTGATAGCCCGAGCAGTCTTGATATTCTTCACATTTATTTTTAATTCTATGCTTTTAATTCTATGCGCACATAAACGTTACTTGAATCCACTGTTATTAGCTGCATGTCATCCGCAAAAATGATGGATTTAAATCATTTTTTATCTACTCTCTCGACTATAAGCTTCACCGACTGTGTAAGAGTATTGACACCGCTCGGAAAGCTTAAGTTCTTTCTCGCGCAGGAGTTTAAACCACAGTGAAGCTGGGTTTTTTTGAACTGAGCCTTGTTTCAGTTGGCTGTTCACGATGAAGAGGACGGCAAATCATCGAAAAAAGTGGGCAGTGTAACAGTCGCGCATGCAAGCTGCCAT